TATTGTCGTTTTCAAAAGTAAATTTTTAAACATATGCTTTTATTCAAGTGAAAGCATGTTATCCATTATGTGCAATATTTTGCACTATCTAGTATGTTAAAAATTTTAGTGTATATCAGCGCCACAAAAATGATGGCAACTATTTTACACCGAAACGGTCAAGTGAAACGTCATGTTTCACCACACAAACGTTCTTATACACTACTTGTAGTAAAATAGCAGCCATCATTTTTGTTATTCTGTTACATTAAAATTTATAATTTCAGTGAGATAAGATAAAGGCATAAGGGTCAGTAAAGTTACTGGAAGCTTCTTTTATATTTTATTTTTAGATTAAAATATAAAGTAAGAATTATCGATTTAGAATGCATAAGTCCACGAATTCTCAGAATAAAATTAGTAAATGAAACATACGCGACGTAGCACAGAGAAGAATATTAAGATAGATTCGAACTAGGCTTAACATAACGGAAGCGGATTGAAATTACACATCATAAAATTATTTAAACCAGTTCTAAGAGATTTTAAAATTAAAATATAATTATCCTTATTAAGCAACTACAATCGCACTTATACGAGAATGTTTAACGGCGAATTCTTGTCTGAATAAAAACGTTGAGAGCAAAAACAAACCTATCACCTGAGCGTACCAGAACGTAAATTAACTACTGACGATATTACTCAGCGGTTTTTGTATTTTTGATGTCAACATTGATGTTTTCGGAAGTGATAACATATCTCGCATGGTGTGAAAGCGTGAGAGTTTGGCGGGTTCACTTTTAAGTGTTTAGATTTGAATGGCATGCCTGAAATCGTTAATGAACGCTCGATTTGGTGTTCACCCGGAATAAAGTGTTCCTTAACAAAATTGTTTGGGTAGTTCATCATACTCGAAGGGATATTACACCACGGTTTTTGCATTGTTTAAAGCTTTAATACTCAAATTTTAGAATATTCAATGTATAGTTTGTTCCTAAAATGTGTTACAAAATAGCTTATGAGGCTAATCTTTCGAAAATTATCGACTAGTTTTAAAAATCAAGTAAAGAAAAACCGAAAGAGATTGGGAAGCATGAACTATTGCGTTCTGTATAAGAAACTAGTAGTTTATCATGACTAAGTTTCGAAATTGGTGAAAAACCTTGCCTACAGGTTGCGCTTCTGACTGAAAACTATGAAACAATGTTTCGTGCTGCGTGCTAGAGTATCATAAGCAAAATGATTACAATAATGACTGCTAATTGTGTCTTTTAGACTACAGCAAGTTGTTGCTTCAAATTTTGAAAATACTGAATTCTAATTTTTCTCATTTAGTAACATATTTTTCCTTCTATAAATTAGTTATCAAATCACCTTTTCACCATTTAATTATCGCTAGAAATTTATTAGGATGTATGCGAATTAATTGGTTAGCTCCTTTAAACCCAATTCACCTTTCAAAATTACCTTTGTTTAGTTATATTTTAAAATAGTTATACCTATTGTGATAAAATTTGTTTATTAAGTTCTCATCCATAAATATGTCCTCTAAATCATATGTCATAATTCATGTAATCATATTTTCTTTAACTTCCTACTATATAGCGAACGTTCATTTGAGAACAATATACATTTAGTCAGACAATTGAAATCTTTGAAAATATTAACTGAACTCTATCTTGATTACATTTTACTCGCAATTTTAGTCTCAATATTTTCATAATTGTGAAATAAAAATGTTTGTACCAAAAAAGAAAAATATTTTCATAACATACCGATTCTATGAAGTAATTTTCATACTTGAATTTTATCAACAAGACAGATAAATTGCTTATCTTGAAATTTATAAATTTTCCTGTTACTTTCAATCTTTTAATTAAAAAAAATTCAATATATCATCACTACTTTGCTTTACCATCATTTGGTGTGTAACTCAGCAAAACTATTGTATACCGGATGTGTTTGGTACATAGTTATGTGTATTTAATAAAAAAAACAACAACCTGGAATGATTAGATTCTTTTCATTAGATAAAAGGAATTTTGTAAAATGGAGAAGAATATACACTTTTAGGACATAACATTCAACACTATTAGTAATATAATTCAACACTATTACAATTTCAACACTTTTAATAACGCAAATAAGCGCTTTAAGCAAAAAATTTTTTTTTCTTGGTGAAATATATGTTTCTTTTTATAGTATTATATTTTATAAACGGTGTTGAGCAGAAAAACTATTTCTGAGTACGACTGTCACTGTTCAACTCTGCAGCCTTGCAATTTTGAGCTCACCCCAGATGACAAGAGAACTCCTGAATTAAGCATTAGGATAAACTAGGCTTCATGGAGGATGAATTGATGGAACTAGCCCGGAATACATAGTACCACGGAACGAAGAAAAACACGAAAACCTCCCGTGTTAGCCCGGCGGCAAAGAGGTTTTAACCTCTGATCTGCTTACCCCTGAAGATTTCTTATTTAACCACTGTTGTCGACGCGACCTGGGAAAAGAATTCGTATTAACCAGCCAACGCTGGGTTTCAAATATGGGACAACACATTAAGAGTCGAGCGCTCTATCCCCTGAGCCACCGCATAATAAAGGCCTAGCTTATTTATTTATTTATTTTTTAATTTTTTTGCTTTACATTAAAAGAAGACGAAACCCAAATTTCTAATATAAACCTTCAATAAAAATAGACCTCTTCCTTTTACGCAAATTCCTCAATATAATTTTTGTTCCGGTATGCAAAATTTGTTGAAATGTTCCTCTTCATAGCATTCCCTATATTAAATAATAGTTCCTCTACCTACATTGATCCCATAAATGACGCAATATTTCGCCTATGGTTACTGCCATTCATCTTAAATGAATAAATAAAAAGTAATGAAAACATTCGAAAAAGGAAATTATGTGATAGATCTCGCCAAATACAATTATCCTCGTAATTGCAGTCATTTGACTTCCATCAAGGTGAGAAGTTAAAAAAAGGGCCTGTCATTACGACTGATAAGAACAAAATGAATCATAATTGTGCCGAACATTCAGAATACTTCTACCCGGTCATTAGAATAAATGTAATAATTAGGTTAACGTCGCAAGCAAGTCTTTCTCTACTTATTACTTAATATAGTCTTAAAAATGTATCCTCTTTTTGGTTGTTAAAAAGTTGACAATATTTATTTATTTTATGAGCTGTTTTTCCATATAGTGAACTAACGCAATATGTTATAAAAAATACACATTTTTTTAAAAATACGTATTTTATTTTAGGGAAAAGCATGCTTGCAAGCATGTGTTTTTTTTTTAAATATTTTATTTTACTACAGCCGAGCTATATAGTAGACAGTTGGCCCATGGTTCTGCCCGAAAGGAATTAATGATAAGGACATATTCGCAATTGCGTTACATAAAGACTAAAACCATAAATTTCTACCTCGGTTTGCCCGACTTCAATGAACCACTGGAGGCATTTAATATCAGTACTATTGATTCAGTTGCCCTAGAAAACTACATGAACGAATCAATGATTGCGAATTTACTTGTATAATAAAAAAGGAAAACAACAATTACTTATGATTATGGTGTTTATAAGAAAACGACTCTGGCCCACGAAGACTCTAATAAAAGTGTTTTTTTAATATCTTAAGAAAAGGGTAATATTTTTATTAATGTAAAACAGGCATAAAAAGAAAAGTTCCAACAGCATGAAGATTCATGCAATATTGAGAAGATCACAAATATCTTTAATTAAATTTGAGATGAAAATAATATATATATATATATATATATATATATAGATTTNTATATATATATATATATTTTTTACTAAAAATTTTGTCTAACTTTTCAAATTGATTAAAATCTTTTATATTGTTATCATTATCATAGCAACTTATGCAAGGAAAGAAACACATATAAAAGACTAATTATGATTTCTTATTACACGATTCCATATTCTATTTTATGTCGTTGAACAGCCGACCCAATTTTGGGTTTACGACTCCCAATGTTCAACTCTGCAGCGTTGTAATTTTGAAACCAATCCAGAAGACAAGGGAACTCCAGGATCAAGCATTGGGAGAAATTTTTAATGGAACAAACCCGCCTTTGAGTTATATGGAGAGAAAAACCACAAGAACTCCCATGGTTAGCCTGACGGCAAGAGGACTCTAACCCATGATCCGTCTACCACTATACTGTTTCATCGGGTGCTCGACAAAAACTGAATATTTCACCTGGCACGTTCCGAGTACCCGGCAAAAATTTTATTTATTACCTAACCGGTACCGGGTACCTGGTATTAGACTTATTAGCTTGCAGGGTATTAAACAATTTATGCAAAACAATCTAAAAATCGTATATTTTTCAATCAAACAAATATTTTATAGGTATATTAATAGATATAGTTTTACGGAAATTTATTGTGCGCCATGTTAGGATGTGCACTGAAACAGCTCAACAAGCATGTTGCCATATTCACATACTAAACATTAAATGACTATTGTCTTTTTCTGACTTATAGAGATACTATAAATATATATTAACCTTACCTCATACGGTCGTTTCATTTCTTCTAAACTATTCTGTGTGGTATTTTTCACAGCGATCTTCCTAATGCTTAGAAAAGAATGATAATAAGAAAATTGCAGACACAGCTCTTTCAAAAGATTGCTTGTGGACGAAATACATTTTTCATTAGGTGATAAATTTAAATTGTTTAAGTAAAACAATTTTCATTTTTATTTCAATCATCAAGTTTTCGTCATCGCATCCTTTCAATTCTTGAACTTTTAGTAAGGTCACAGTTAAGATGATGCTACGTGATAAAATTCTGACCATATTTAGTAAATGAGCTAACTAAAATGATAATTCAGTCAGTCCTGTTTTTTTCTTCATATTTTACAAATGACTCAAAGTTTTAAGCATAGATAAGATTATTTTGAAAATAAAACTACGTAAAACAAAGTTTAGCGGAATGCTAAGAAAAAATATAATGTATGATGGAGTTTTGAGAAGAAAGAATAATGCTGTTGTAGTTAAAATATAATATGCGTATAACATTTATATTCTAAGAAAAGAAATAGCGTGTTTCCAGGGGGTGATGCAACGGGATTTTTCTGTGCTGAAACAGGTAGGGGAACTTCTTTTTCCATCCCAAAACCCATGAGAATATCTCTTTATTTATATGTTGTTATAGTACATATTGTTAAAATAACATTATTTATATCATTCTTGATCTCGTAATTTAGTTCAGTACAATGGGACGTTTAATTTTCTTAATGAAGTTTTTCATTTTCTTTGAATTATTGTTTTTTAGTTTTAATAAGACAAATACTTTCTTTCTTCCCCAACAATCTTAATAGCTTCTTTCTGTTTTCGGCAACATTTAATTCTGATAACTAAAATATATTTTTTCTCATTATTATTTGTAATGTAACTAAGGTTTTCATTATTATCATAACAGAATTAAACTAACTGTGAAATAGTACCGTAGCGTAACCAGAAAAATAAACAGCCAAAAAATAAATGAAATTTATCATTTACAGATCTGTTAAAGCTATTACAAAAGCATAAATTTCATTATAAAGTCACAAACGGTCAAATTAGTCACAGTCACAGACGTGACCGTTTTGAATTGTCTCAAAGAGGCCATAATGTGACTTTGATATTACTGTGTCATCAGGGCCGTCTTTATACTATTTGAGGCCCTGGGCACATTAGGATCATGGGGCCCCTATGACCTTGAGAAAACACTATTTAGTTACAATAGATAAAGAAAGACAAACAAGGTTCTAAATTTATTTTTATTTAGTTACTAGCTATAAAAAAATAGGAAATATAAAAAATAATCTACAAAAGTAACTCGCTTAACTTAAAATCCTTAGATTAATTCTATGTTGATTGCAAAGGTACCCTTCTAGATTTAAGATGAGCAAAATCGTTAATCACTTCTTCAAAATCTATGGTATTGAGAATATCACATTCTATGGACATCAGCGACAAACTATTTAATCTCTCTTGAAGCATTGTACTTCTTAATTCATTTTTTATTCGTTTCAATTTGGAGAAGGAGCGTTCTCCGCTGCAGTTAGTTACCATCATGCTTAAAAATATTCTCAATGCAATTTCTACGTTAGGAAATGTGTCTTCAATTTTGTTTTGCTTTAATAGATTATATACTTCCTGTACACTGTTAGATGCTTCATTTTCACTCTGAACATTTATTAAGTATTCTTTTAAATGTTGACATTCTATTTCTAACTCTTTTTCATTTACATCTTCGTGATAGATTTGAGAAAATTCTTTGCATCCTTGTCGTATCTCTTCGGANTAGAACGAAAGTTATTCAGGGTGATTCGTTTTTTTTTTTGCGGACTGTACATGTTACTGCCATCTACCGGCAACTGCTTAAATTAAAACTTGAATACTTCAGATGTTCTTTTTTGCCATGTTCGTCTTCGTTTTTTTACTATAACGCTTCGAAACCCCGGAGGGAATTATGAATAACCCTGTACTTAACTGTGACTAAAGTCACTTGGAAAATTTGTTACCAATTTGATTCCTTGAAAGTCACATGTAAACCATTTCATTACTTGTCTTATTAAAGTAACAGGAGTATTTTTTGCTACTTATCTCAGTTTGGTTCTCATATTTACTTTTTATCGAATTTGTTTCACTGAAATCACGTGTATAATTTTATGCGACTTGTTATACCCTTGTAATAGATGTATATGCTTATAATTTCTTTAAGATTCATGCTAAAAATTTTAAGTTTTACATAACTTTTATATCCACTAACAGTCCTGATATGATTTAATGAATCCTGATGAGAAAAATAAAACAATTTTTGTGAGAATAATTTAATAAACTATACATTTTTGTAATCGTTTTATAATCTTTTAATTTTAAATAAAATGCTTTATTCTATTTTGCGTATATTTGGACTAATATTGGTTATGTTTGCACCACACAGTTTTTTTCGGTAAAAAATGTCGATAAATTTTCAAAAGAATATTTTGCATTTTGCAATAGAGTATACAATGTATTCAGATACTATTAGATTTGATAAATTATACGAGTTTTAATTGCATATAATAATTTGTGTAAAATTACAAATTTAATTTCACAATTTGGAAAAATGAGAACAGAGATAGTCAATACGATAGAATAAAATTACTAACAAAAGAAATATCTAATTGATATTTCATAGAAAAAGCAAACGATTTTAAAACAAGACGAGGGTCATAGTTTTTTCAAATATTTTTTTATTGTATTCGTGACGATTGACTGAATCAAAAATTGGCTTAATGCAGCTGTTAGTTCTATCACGTGATTGAACATAGCCATTCGAAAAAGTAATTTTATTAGATAAAAATTCTTTAATTTTTGTTGAGAGTGATCTTTATGTTAAACACCTGGGCTCTATGTTTTCTACCAGCTATTAAATGTTTTTAGTTATAGTTTAGTTATTGTTTTGTTCATTGCATAAATATTAATTATTGGTAGAAAGAGCGATGCCACACAAAGCTTTAAAAATGGTGATTTTGATAGCTAAAAATGAATTTAGCCAATTACGTTTGATTCTGAATGAATTGTTTATGTTCGATGACACAAGAAAGAAGTTTATGACATATAAAAGGAGTGATTCCTTATTTTGTTTTTCTTGGTGTTATTTTGTTTGATTGAAGATTCGGCTTTCGATTTTTTATAAGTTGAAATTATTTCATTGTTGAAAGGTTCTTTCGTCTTTAAATACTTTTTGAGTGTTTCGTTTTTGAATGGTTCGTTCTTCAATTCTTTTTTATTTATGGTTGCTATGTCTATTTTATTTCAGAGTGAATAATTTTTTTAAATTTTTTTCCCTTCATTTTAATAATAATGCAACCTTAGCAACAAATTTAACAAGTGCTGTTATAAATATGGTTTTTATTTTCTAATTTATATCGAATAATTTGGATATTACGAAATACCCAGTGCAATATTTTATAATACTCACATAAAAAGTTAAATAATTGTGATTATTAAAATTAATTTCTACTACAGTTAGTTTTTTTTTTATACATAATTTCATATTTCTTAAAAAAATGTTATTAATTAATATTTACTGATAGTATTATTTACCAATGTTAATATATACTATTAATTAATACTTACTATTTAATCACACAATATATTCTCAATTTTAAAATAATATAAGATGGTAATAATAAAATACATATTTTTAAATCCTACAATTTAATTGTAATTATTTATGCAGTTTAACAAAAATCAGTATGAACCAAAAACAAGAAATTTAAATAAAAATGCGGTAACATTTTAGAAATAAAAAGGTGTCGTTTAGGTATGTAGGTATGTAATGTAATATAACCCGTTAACGCAGATGAAACACCGGTGTTCCTTTTATATATCTTTTTCTGTGCTCTAATTACAATAATATATTCTGGTATTTTTTAAATGTAAAAAAAGTCGAATAGTTATTAATTTTTTTTTTAAATTATCGGAATTATATTTGTAATAGAATATAAAGCCTAAAAAAATAGTTTAAAATTTATTTTCCTCATTCAAATTCAAAAATTTATTAATAATTGATTTTGAAATTTGAATGATGAATAACTGCTTTTTTTTTTAGATCTTAATAACAAGAAATAAATGCAAATTGGTAAAATTATTACTTGGAAGTGAGCCGTAGTGTTAAGAAATTTTATTTTTAACATAGAAAAAGACTTCGGCATTTCATGCTATACTTCATAACCATAAATTATAAAAATTCTAAATATAATATGTTTCACCTATTTTGACTAAATTTAATACAAAATTTAATACAAAATATTAAAAAAAGTTTGAAAAAAATATTTAATAAAAACTCTGTGCCAAAGGGATAAAGAATAGGTAGAAAAATATTCAGCTAAATAAATATATTATTATTAATTATTATTGTATTTTCTGGTTTAGAAGTTGATAAACTTGGCTCCTATTTATACACTTTTTGAAAATCTAATCATTTATAATAATTTAAATCTGATATCAGTTGCTGATTTCAATTCTGAATCACTGTTATAAAATTTATTAACAAAAGCTATCGATGAGAAGATCTCCGCAAAATGTAAAATAGTGTTGCCATCTATTAAGATTTAATTGAACTAAAATCTGACTGTTTCAAATGTAGTTCTGATCTATTCAACTGATTTATCACAAATTTAACATTTATAATTATTTCATTTTATGCTATTCTTTTTCTGTGTAATGTTTTTTAAAAAAAAACATGTATGTGAAATTCACAAGATTAAGAGTACTTCTTTAAGGAAGTAAATGTGTCACCGCTAAAGTTCGAAAGCCGTTAATGTGCACATTACCCATAGGTAATATGTTACTCATAGGATGGGCTATAGAAAATCTGCAAATTAACTGGTTTGCTTAGTTAAAGTGCGAAATCTAGAGCTTCCACATTTTATCCAGACAATGTGTTTCTTAACGGTTTCCGTATTTTGTATGTTCAAAATTTTGTTTCTAACATTTCTTTGTAATGACGTTCTCGATAAAATGTCATTAATTTAATTTTCAATTAATTTTAATAATATTTTAAACCATTTGTTTCTTTGCATTACAGCTATTGAATTAATTCATGACTGGATTCTATCAATTAATTTGTTGATTGTTTGGTCTTATTAACTTGATTCTTTAGACATTAATGCGTACAAAGAAACGTTGTTGCTTTTGAGGCAAGACCATAACTTCACATTAACGAGTACATACTATGTGATGTGCAAATTACATAGGTAATTTGAGAAACAGTACACTTTTTTACACTTAATACACTTTTTTTGATTTGCAGAATTACTGATTTCTGCGCATTAGAAGTATCATGTGGACCATGAAAAATTACGCTACTATTCGCAGTTGTCCAAAGCGCAATTTTTCAGTTCTAAAAAAGCTGTTCCTTTTGCTCCTGAAAAATTTTAATAAAACATTGCATGAAAGTTTTGTTAATCTACTTGTTTTTAGTGGTTAAGAATGCATATTAAATGCGTATAATTGGTAAGGACTTCCTTTATAAGTTTTAATTATTATAATTTTTTATGACGGAAATTTCGAAACTTATTTTTTAAAAAAATTATTGAAAAAAAAAATTTA